GAAGGCTAAGTGGGGGGAGAGGCCTAGAGGGACGCAAACACACCTGGAGACCACAGGCCACAGAACGAGCACAGTCGCCCCATCCTCCCCCCCAGTCGCCCCCGAATATCCCCATCCCCTGCTCCCCAACCCCAGTGGTCAGGACCCGCCCCTGAGGGGTCTCAGGGTGGCGGCCGAGTGGCGCCGAGATGTACTTGGCAGAGGCCACCCTTGGGCAGTGGCCCCAGGACTGTGAGGACGGGTGGGGGGGCAGGTCGAGGGACCGGCCCTGGACGCTCAGGCTGCCAGATGCTAGGTTCTGTGGCAGCCTCGCCCGGGCCGGCCAGATTTCTGTGTGCCCACTCGCCAGCCACCATGTCCGGATTCCTGTGGAAAGGGGAGGGTGAGCAGGCAGGGTCACAGCTCAGGCCCCAGGGTGAGCTCCAGGCTGCCTGGCCCGGGATATTGTCTGCATTGTGGGGTGGGAGAAGAAACCAGACCCCATGTTGAACCAAAACTTCAGCTGCACCAGAGCCAGACCAGCTGAGGTAGGGAAAGTTTGGTGAGGATCGGGGGTGAGGGCAAAGATCTGGTGCCTTTGTGGACTGGAGGTGGCTCAAAATACAGGGTAGCTAGCTCCTTCCCCGGACCTGGTACCCATGTGTGGGGCCTGGTATCCAGGGCCTGGCCTTCTCTCAAACCTTTCTCATCCCTTGCCGCTAGAATAGGGGGTCATACTTGGCCTAGAACATTCTCTGATGGTAATTAGGCTCCTCCAAGGCTGGCTTCTGGTTTTTCTGTTGCTCAGGATGTTCTAACCGCTGGAAGGGGGTGGGTGCCACTGGTTTTCTAAGTCACTGCTCCGGCTGTTTTTTATTTTGATGGAAATAAATTCACAGGAAACTCTCCAGAGCTCGAGGGGCACTTACTTGTGCCAGGTTTCAGGTGCGGTGGGGTGGGGGCTTGTGTCTGTGCCACTTCCAGCTGGGCCAGGGTAGGCTGGCTTTCTCATCAAGTTTATGGGGCCTTCGGCTTGGAAGGGAGAGGCAGGGGATGTTATGGTCTGAAATCGTGAAGGTGGGGCTGAGGGAGAGAAATCAGGGGTGCTGGCAATGGCTGAGGCCACAGGCACAGACATGTGGCTGCCCCAGGGAAGCGGGACTGACTGGGAGAGCCTTGTCTAGAAGAGAGCTGCTTCCCTGCTCTCCATTTGATTTCAGATCTGGGGCTCCTACAGAGATCTAGTCTGAGTCTGCTCACGTCCCAGTGCTTCTACCTCCCGACCCCTGACCCCTCCCAGTGATGGCTGTTCCCACCATTCAGCTGCCCTCCACTTTCCTCTTTCATCTATAAAAGAAAACTAATTATTTAATTAATTTTTTTGGAGACAGGGTCTTGCTATGTTGCCCAGGCTAGTCTCGAACTCCTGTCCTCAAGTGATCCTCCCAAAGTGATCCTTCCAAAGTGTTGGGATTACAGGCGTGAGCCATTAGACCCGGCCTTCCCCTTTCGTTTCTGAGTCCCTCCCCACCCCCAGGGTAGCCCACTCCATCCTTCTGCAGTCACCAAGCTCCCTCCAGGCACCCTTTCTGGACTTTCTAGGTTGCTTATGGAACCACAGAGAACAGTCCCGTGACGTTCATGAACTTCCCTGAGGACACTGTGGAGCAGAAGGCGGAAAGTGTGGGCAGAGTTATGCCTCACACGGAGGTGAGCCCCTGACCGAGACCCCCCAGACCTCACCTCCCACCACTCAACGGGGGCGCACCCACCCGGGACACCTATTGCTTTCACTTAGCGATCCGGACGACTCACTGGAGTGCTGAGAGCTCCTCAGCAGCAGGTCTTGCTGGGCCTGGCCTGGGGCTTTCTCTGTGGCCTGAAGCATGAGAGGGGAAGAGCTGGAACAGCCGCCACTAGCAGCTGCCAGCTGAACTTCTCCGCAGCCTCCCTTCCTGTCTGAGGTGTGTTTTTGCCAAGCCCACTGTCTGTTTCGGGGCAGCCAGGGTAGCCTCAAAGAGGAGTCAGAGCACAGAGATTTTTCCTACACCCCAGTGCCCTCCCTTTCTGTAGAGTTCCTCTTTTTGCTGAGAGTAAACACTTTATTTCCTAAGCAGCCTCTCCCTTTGGGGGTCCCTTGCTTCTCAAAGTCTGGCCCAGAGCACATCTCTTTCTCTCTCAAGTGAGATAGTCTTGCTCTGTCGCCCAGGCTGGTGTGCAGTGGCACTCAACCTCCTGGCTCAAGTGACCCTCTCACCTCAGCCTCCAGAGTAGCTGGAACTACAGGAGTGCACCACCATGCCCGGCTTAATTTTTTAATTTTTATAGAGACAATCTCGCTATGTTGCCCAGGCTGGCCTCGAAAACTCCTGGCCTCAAGCAATCCTCCTGCCTTGGCCTCCCAAAGTTCTGGGATTATAGGCAAGAGCCACTGCACCTGGACGCCCTCTCATTCTCAAATTCCTAGCCATGTCTCCTTTCCTGCTCCAACAGTAGGGCTTTATGCCAACCACCACCTGGTTTCCCCTGACCCCTTGTGCCCTTGCCCCTGTGGGATCACTGCCTGTGGGCCCGAGAGCTGCTTCCTCTGGGGCTGACCGCTATCTTGGTGCAGATCTGCCCTGTCCTCCCCCCTCATCCACAGCAGTCCTGCATGGAGCGAGTGAACCCCTTCTCGTGTGGCTGACAGTCCCACTGCCACACACCCCTGGCTTGCCCACCTGGAAGGGAGACAAGAACAGGCATAATTCTCCCCATTTCACAGGTGCAGACACTGAGGTACACAGAGGCTTGGCTCTCCTTGGCATGGTGGCTATAGCTCATTTCTCTACTAGGCTTTCAGAGTCTGCCTTTCCTGTTCACGTGGTGCTGCCACGCCACTGGCTTTGGCTTCATTTGCTGCTTAATGGGAAGTCAGAGGAGACTCCTTTCTTAACTACACAGTTTATAATTCCTCAGCCGGCCTGGCCTTCCACAGGCCTCCCTCTCCCAGGCAGCTCCCTGCCCACTCCGTTTCCTCAGCACCTCTGGCCTGGGCCTCAACTGTTCTTTAATGCCCAGCTCAGGTCTGTGACTGACATCAGGTCCACTCTGACCTTTGTCTCCCCTCCCTGGACTGGGATAGGTAGAACCAGGGGTCTCATTGTTGAGGAGAAGGCAAGTAGAGCTCCCAAGGGCCACCTATCCTGAAGCAAGTGGGTGGGAGGCCCCAATATCAAGCTGCCCTGTCCCAGGCCCAGATTGTGAACAAGGAGGCGGGGACGCTGGCAGAGCTGAACACGCCTGGAGAGCTGTGCATCCGAGGCTACTGTGTCATGCTGGGCTACTGGGGCGAGCCTCAGAAGACGGAAGAAGCCGTGGGCCAGGATAAGTGGTATCGTACAGGGTGAGAAGGCAGGGTGGGACAGAAGCTCTGGCGACCGAGGGGAGGCTGGGGGTCCTGAGGCTGGGCTGAGAACATTAAGCTAGCACAGGGTGTCAAGGGGGCCCCTTCCATCCTAGAGACCTAATTTCCAACACGTGCACAGTGGAGATCATCATACGTAGCATGGAGGAGAGAAATGAGGAGAGAGCACTAAGCCAACGTCCATAAAATCTGAGGCCACATTCAGTCACTTATGTGAGTCAGCAAATTGTGTTGACAGCCAGCACGGTTCTCGCTGCTGGTGGCCCAAAGAAGGTCAGATGGGAAGGATTCTGCTCTCACTTTCCACGTGGAAGACGGAGGACTTCCAACATCGATAAACACCACAAAGAAAATATACTAGGACTATAAGACAGAAGGTGGCCATGGTGGGCTGGGAGCTTCTCTTCGATTGGGTGTCAGAGAAGGCCTCTGGAAATGTTCGAGCGGAGACCTGAGTAATGAAAAAGAAGCCAGCTGTGAAAAGGACATGGACAGATGTGTCGAGAGAAAGAGAATATAGTATGAGAATGTAGTGTGGAGGTTGGTTGGGTTTTGTCCGCCTTCCCCATGAGACTGTACGTTCTAGGGACTGTGTCTTGTTTGTGCTGTGTCTCCCAGAGTCTAGAGCAGTGGAAGACACACAGTAGGTGCTCGATAAATGCTTATGAGTGTGTAAGGCAGAGGGGAGAGGCCATTCCTGGGCTTTCCTTACAGAGACATCGCCACGATGGACGAGCAGGGCTTCTGCAAGATCGTGGGTCGCTCTAAGGACATGATCATCCGGGGTGGGGAAAACATCTACCCCGCAGAGCTGGAGGACTTCTTCCACACCCACCCACAGGTGCAGGAGGTGCAGGTGAGCGCCTGGCCCTGTGAGCCCCAGTGAGCCCCAAGGAGCAGGAAGTGTGCACGAAGATGGTGACATGTGATATTGGCTCTGCCCTTGGAAGGTGGTGGGCGTGAAGGACGAGCGAATGGGGGAGGAAATCTGTGCCTGCATTCGGCTGAAGAATGGGGAGAAGGCCACCGCAGAGGAGATCAAAGCTTTCTGCAGAGGGAAGGTGGGAGCCTCAGCCTGTCCCCAGTCCTCGGCCCCCTGCCCCTGCCCTGTGACCTTGCCCAGCCTCACACCCTACCTCCCTCTGCAGATCTCTCACTTCAAGATTCCCCGCTACATCGTGTTCGTCACAAACTACCCCCTCACCATCTCTGGAAAGGTGTGTAGAATGGAGCGGACTGGAGAGGGCAGCCTGGGGACCAGCAGCCTGGGTGGCTCCACTGTGACTCCCTCAGCAATGGGCAAGAGAGCCCATTGACAGGCTGGGTCACCTCATCCTGGGTTGCCTGGGACTTTCCTGGTTTGGGCACTAAAAGCCTGACAAACTCCTCAGTCCCAGGTGAGCCAAGACGGTTGGTCACCCCAGCTGGCACAGGCCCAAGCCTGACCCTCACTCCTTGTCTTTCCTGTAGGTCCAAAAATTCAAACTTCGAGAGCAGATGGAACGACATCTCAATCTGTGAAGAAAGGGGGAGGAGGGGTCCTTCCAGGCCCTCCTCCCGCCCCTGCCTCACACTCCCTGTCTCTTTATTTGGCATAAAGAGTTTCTGTTGTCATTGGCTGGTCTCTTGCTGGTGTGCTTTCCTGGCAGCTGCTATGGGATGAAGAAGAGAAGAGGATGAAGGGAAGCTGGTGTTTTCAGGCCTCCTGCTCCTCGTCAACGAGGAACAACAGAGCACTCTGATGTGCCATATCCATGTGATTCCAACCCTCACTCTTGGTGTCCCTTTGAGAGTCCAACCCAATTTTTAATTTTTGGGTACTTTCACTGAATTCTTTCTCACATTGTTGCCAGACTAGTCCAGCAAGAGGCTTTTTTTTTTTTGAGTTGTAGTCTCTCTGTCACGTAGGCTAGAGTGCAGTGGCATGCTCACAGCCACCACAGCCTTGACATGCTGGGCTCAGTTGATCCTTCCACCTCAGCCTTCCAAGTAGCTGGAACCATAGGCACATGCCACCACCACGCCCGGCTAATTTTGTGATTTATTGTAGAGACAAGGTCTCACCAAGTTGCCCAGACTGGTCTTGAACTCCTGGACTCAGGCAATCCTCTCACCTCTTCCTCCCATAGTGCTGGGATTACAGAGATGAGCCACTGTGCCTAGCTTTTTTCTTGTCTTTTTTATAATATAACTGGATTGAGATAGAATTCACATGCCATCCAGTTCACCCATTCAAACTGTACAATTCAGTGGTTTTTATTCCCAGATATGTGCAACCATCACCACAGTCCATTTTAAACAGCATCATTGACTCAAAAAGGAAACCCATACCCTTTAACTGTGATCTCCCATCCCCCTCCACCTCCTTCCTACCCTCTGTCGCCCAGGCTGGAGTGCAGTGGCATGATCCTGGTTCACCGCAACCTTGACCCCCTGGGCTCAGGCTGAGACTACACGTGTGAGCCATCATGCCTGGTCCAAATTTAGTTTTTGATCAATAAACCTGGTGCTTCTTGTGATGGGCAGGGTCAGATAAAGCAAAGTAAAAGAAAATAACTACTTTCCAAAAGGCACATGGGTTCCCAGTTCACAGGGACAGACACTTGCCTCCCGTCGGCAACCTTTGTTTCCCAGGATGTTGGCGCCGTCTTTACTTTCCAAGAAGACTCCTTTTTACTTTTCAAGAAATGAGCATATGTTTAGGATACTTGAAGTGCCAGGCACTATGCAAATGCTTTCTTTCTTTTTTTTTTTTTTGAGTTGGAGTCTCACTCTGTCGCCCAGACTGGAGTGCAGTGGCCACTCCCGGCACTGCAGCCTCGACCTGCTGGGCCCCGGCGATCCTTCCACCTCAGCCTTCCAAGTAGCCGGAATTACAGGCACGCGCTACCATGCCCGGCTAAGTTTTTGATTTATTGTAGAGGTGAGGTCTCGCCAAGTTGCCCAGGCGGGTCTCCAACCCGCGGGCTCAGGCAATCCACTCACCTCGGCCTCCCAAAGTGCGGGATTACAGGCTGAGCCACCGAGCCCAGCGAAGGCGTTCATGTACATTTTCTCTCGGAATCTTCCCAGCCGCCCTACCAAGTAGCCATTGGCTCCACTTCTCAAAGGATGAGACAGACTCAGGGATGTTCAGTGCCTTGTTCACAGTCACACAGCTGGGTGAGAACCTGGCTGTCTGGGAAGCAGTTCACTGTGCACTGGTTACCTACTTGTCTGAGTCCAGTGAGGCAGAATACCCACACACAAGCTACACAAAGAGGGCTCATGACTTACAGGTAGGGGCAAGGGGCAGAGGCCTCAGATCCATGTGGAGCCAGACCCCCAAGGGTCAGGAGAGCTGCGAGGCTGAGGGAGTTTCATCTGCGCATGTCCTGCTGTGCTGCAGCTGAGGGACCCCGGAAACCAGCCGGCCCAGTGTTTTATAACCTGGGGCCATGTGACATGTTGGGCTAAGGCACTGAAGGACATCTCTTTTCTAAGGGAAACTGGAACAGAGCCTGGCTGTTCTGGTCAGTCCCTCCTCCTCTCAGGAGGTTGCATTCCACAGTTATTCTTGAGAACTACAAGCTAGAAAGGGGGAGAACTGAGTAGGTTCGAGGCCATGGGGAGAACTGTCCTGCACTGTCTGACTCCAAGCCCCATGATCTTTCCACGTGGTGGGGCAGCTCTTCAGGTGCCTGCTTCCCAGCCCTTCACATGCACCCTCTCTCTCCTACATACACCATCTTTGACTGTCCTCCCTGCATATACATCTCCAGGTGCCCATGTTGGCCTGACCAGAGACAATCTACTCTCCTGGTCAAGTCAATGTCCCCTGGGAATTTCTGCTCCTTTAAGATCTAGCCCATAGCCGGACTCGGTGGCTCAGCCTGTAATCCCGCGCCTTTGGAAGGCTGAGGTGAGTGGAATGCCTGAGCCTGCGGGTTCCAGACCCGCCTGGGCAGCGAGACCTCATCTCTGCAATAAATCAAAAAATCAGCCGGGCGTGGTAGCGCATGCCTGTAATTCCGGCTACTGGGAAGGCTGAGGCGGAAGGATCGCCAGAGCCCAGCAGGTCGAGGCTGAGGTGGTGGGGAGCGGCCACTGCACTCCAGTCTGGGCGACAGAGTGAGACTCCAACTCAAAAAAAAAGAAAAAATCCAGCCCATGGGGCTGTAATCCCAGCTACTCTAGAGGTTGAGGCAGAAGGATCGCTTGAGGCCAGGAGTTCCAGACCCGCCTGGACAACACAGCAAGATCCCTCCCCACCAAAAAGATTTTAAAATAAAAAGATCCAGCCCAAGTGCCCTCTTCTCCCCTACTGATTCCCACGCTTTAGTAACAAACCGCCCTCGGGGCACCGAGCACAGTGGCCTGGTGTCTGGCAGGCACTGAACTGACACGTGTTGTCTGATCTGGCCGGTCGGGTTGCCTCTCTCCTGTCAGCCTGCACCCTGGTCTTATGTTCCTAGCTGTCTCCAGCGCCGAGCTCTGAGCCAGGCACACAAAATGCGAAGGCGCTGACCGGAGGAGAGCTCCCGGCCGGGTCAGGGAGCGCGCTCTGGCGCGGGTGCCCCAGACGAGCAGCCCGCCCCACGTCCCCGGGAGGGGGAGAGCCGACCGGCGGCCGCGG